TCTTAACTCTATGGCATACTGTGTCTTCAGACAGTTTGGGGAAATGAAAGCCTGGAGATTTAAAATCATGAGTTGAACATAAATTCCAGTAAAATGTAAAAACAGAACGGGCATGGCGCTCTCCCTAGAGCACACGAGCTTGGAAACGCTGCCCCGCAGGTCCTTGATAACATCGGTTCCTTATAACATTGAGGAGAAAAAAAAACATGTTCCTGTCCGTGGGGAGTCTGCATGCACTCCCCATATCTGTGTGAGTTTTCTCCAGGTCCTTGGGTTTCATCCCACCTCCCAAAATGTGCAGGCGAAGGGAACAGGTGCGTCTACACAGCCTTGCCTGACTGAGTTCGGTGTGTGTGAGTGACCCTGCCATGGAGAGGCGTCCCATGCAGTGCTGGTTCCTAGTCTGGGCCCTGAGTCACTGAGCCAGGCTCAGGCCACCTGCCACCCTGAACTGGAATAAGCTAGTAAATAGTTATCTTATTTTTATTAATCTTTCTTAAATGTATATATAACTCACATTACTCTAATGTTTAATATTAGAAGTAATGTGTTGATTGAGAAGTTTGGTGGCTTTTTTTTTGTGACCAGAAATGTGCAGTGGGAACTTAATTCTTGTTTATGTCAATTAGCCTGAGGTGGAATTGGTTTCTTTTTTCTTTTCTTTTTTTTTTTTGAGTTGGAGTCTCACTCTTGTCGCCCAGGCTAGAGTGCAATGGCACGCCCACGGCCACCACGGTCTTGACCTGCTGGACTCCGGTGATCCTTCCCCTCAGCCTTCCAAGTAGCTGAAACTACTGACACATGCCACCATGCCCGGCGAGGAATTGGTTTCTAAGGTCACAGTTTCCAAGAACCTATCCAGATGTTAAGTGAAGACTTTCGTGTATCAGTGATCCCAGTAAAACTGTGAACATCATCGCTGTGGAACTGCTGGGTCAAAACTCAGATGAGGGGAATTATTCCTTAAAGCAACAGTCCCCAACCTTTTTGACATAAGGAACTGGTTTTGTGAAAGACAATTTTCTTCATGGAGGTGGGGGGCGGGGGGATTACCACGCCTTGTATTCACATAAGGAGCCCTGACCTAGATCCCTTGCATTTGCAATTCACAATGGGTTTCACCACTCCAATGCAGCTGCTGATGTGACAGCAGAAGGAGCTCTGCTCACCTGCCGTTCACCTCCTGCTGTGGGACCCAGTTCTTAACAGGCCACCACCGGTACCAGTCCACGGCCCTGGGGGTTGTGGACCCTGCTTTAAAGGGTTTATTAGCTAATAACCAACTTTTAATAGATGTCAGTACGAGTAGTTCATATGTTTAACCATTTAGTTTGGGGCTCTATATTACTTGATTGAGTCTTTTTTATTGATATAGAATAATTGTGCATATGTATGAAGACGGTTGAGCTTTAAATCAGTGTATTTTGTTTGTTCAATTTAAGAGTTTATTTTTCTGAAAATAGCTTTGATGTTTTTATGACCACAGCATTAAACCTCACACTGAAGCATTCAACCGTTTATTATACAGGATACAAATGAAAAAAACGTGTAGGGCAAGGTGCAAGGGAAGGGGCACTGAGGTTTCATGCCCCGCTGGGCCCTCCACCCTCCACCTCCACCTGTACAGCTATTTGGAAGCCCTCTGCCAAGAGGGGTGGCTCATGCCTGTCATCCCAGCACTTTGGGAAGCTGAGGCGGGAGGCTTGCTCCAACCTAGGAGTTCAACACCAGCCTGGGCAACATAGTGAGACCTCCTCTCCACAAAATAATAATAAAAAACTGCCTATAGTCCCAGTTACTCAGGAGGCTGAGGCAGAAGAATCACCTGAGCCCAGGAGGTTGAGGCTGTGGTGAGCCATGATTGTGCCACTGCACTCTAGCCTGGGTGACAGAGTGAGACCCTGCCAAAAAGAAAAAAAAGAAGCAAGGAAGGCAGACTCTCTGGTTGCTTTGTTTTGTTTTGTTTGTTTGTTTAGTTTTTGACAAGGTCTTACTAGAGTGAGACCCTGACAGAAAGAAAGGAAGGAAGGAAGGAAGGAAGGAAGGAAGGAAGGAAGGAAGAAGGGGGGTTCTCTGTATTTTTAAATTTTTTTTTTTGACAAGGTCTTACTCTGTTGTCCAGGCTGGCACACAGCTGCCAGATCATGGCTCACTGCAGTCTCAACCTCCTGGGCTCAAGTGATCCTCCTACCTCAGATTCTCCAGTAGCTGGGACTACATACAGGCTTGTGCCAACACATCTGACTACTTTTTCAAAAATATTTTTTGTAGAGGTAGAGTCTTGCTATGTTGTCCAGGCTAGTCTCAATCTCCTGCCTCAGTCAATCCTCCTGCCTAGACCTCCCAGAGCACTGGGATTACAGGCATGAATTGTTGCCTGAGGCTTCAACGTGGTTTTCTTCCATGGTCTGTTCTTTGGATGGTTGTAAATGCTGTAGATAATCTTATTGAAGTACATGGAGGTGTGGTATCAACTGCTTGAAGCTTTTTGTGCATTCATTTCACAACTAGGCTTCATAAAGATATGGGCTGTGATAAGACTGATTGTGTCATATTTTTTGGTAGTGAGCTTTATTAAATCCCCTCTCAGCCGGGCTCAGTGACTCAGCTTGTAATCCCGCGCCTTTGGGAGGCTGAGGTGAGTGGATGGCCTGAGCCCGCGGGTTCGAGACATGCCTGGGCAGCGAGACCTCATCTCTACAATAAATCAAAAAATCAGCCGGGCGTGGTAGTGCATGCCTGTAATTCCGGCTATTTGGAAGGCTGAGGCGGAAGGATCGCCGGAGCCCACAGGTCGAGGCTGCGGTGGCCGGGAGCGGCCACTACACTCCAGTCTGGGCGACAGAGGGAGACTCCGACTCAAAAAAAAAAAAAAAAATCCCCTTTCAATCCAGCAGCTACGTGTTTTAAAGGCATTGTCCTTGGTGTTAATGGGAAAATGTATTTCCTCATTGTATTTGGGCTTTTGCATCGCACTCCTGGTTTTAAAGTAGATGTGCCTTAAGAAGGAAGTGGAATGAAGCAAGTCTACAAGTACTCATGGTTGCCAAGATATAAGAAGTGAAAAAAAACAAGAGTAGGACCTGTGATTTTGCATGCTACCATTTTCATTTAAAAAGATGATAATGCTTGGGAAGCATACGAAGTCTGTCAATTTAGTTCGGTAAGTCATCCTAGAAGAACTGCTACATACCTCATTGCTGACTATCACTATGGTCACCTTCAAAGTGCTCCCTTTGGAAAGCTAGGCACCAACGCCAATGCCGCGTCCACCCGTCAAAGCAATATTGGAACTCTTTTTCTGGAAAGGTCATCAAAGCTGCGGTTGTGTCACCCTTGATGTCCTGAATGCCATTAAAATGTCACCCTTTTGATGTTTCCTTTATCTTTGGGTAAAGAAAAAAGTCACTGGAGGCCAGATCAGGTGCGTTAGGGAAGTCGTTTCAATGCAGTTATTTGTTTGCTGGCTAAAAACTCCCTCATAGACAGTGCTGTGTGGGCTGGTGCATTGTCATGATGCAAGAACCCCTTTGGGACCATTTTTTGCACGCACCTTTCTCTTGCCAAGATTTTCAGTTAAGATTTTCCTGTTTCTCTGCTGATGTTTATTTGGTCTACTATGCTTCTCACAGTCAGCCTACAATCTTGATGCACAACTGAATGAATTTTGCAATGTGTTCATCAGTTCTGCTTGTAACTGACCTCTCTTCATTAGTCTTTCTCTTCCCTCAGAAAAACACTCAATCAAGTTGTACACTGCTGTTTTCTTCGTGGCATTATCCCCATAAGCTTGGACTAACACGTCCCTGATTTCACTTCCACTCCTGCCAAGTTTAACGAGAATTTTTTTTTCCAAAAAAAAGTTTATTAGGGAGGAAAAGAGAAAAGGAAGAAGGAAGATTCATGGCAGAAAGACCTGTCATGGGCAAGTTTCTCAAAGACGAAAAACCGTCAACAATAAATTTAATGTTTGTCCGTTGCTCTAATTTAAGCTCTGACATTCTCGCCACAGCACACAAAAACATGCAACGACAATAATGAACGCCACTCAATGAGACACGGCCACACACCGACACAAACGCAGCTGCGAGGCACTGATGTACCAAGGCTATGAAACCTCACCAAGTTGTTTGTACAGTGCTGCCAATGTAAGCACATGGTGGCAAACTCACGAACTTCATTGTCAGACCTTGTAAAATAACTCTGGAAAGATCCATACAGATCTACTTGGTTTCCCCTGAGAAAAGGAGCTAGATATTGGGAGTGTGGAGGGGGGATCATTTTTATTACATTTTTTTTAAAGTTTTGAATTGTTTGTTGTGGTTAGGTAGTACTTATTAAAAAATAATCTAGACCAGGCAAGGTGGCTCACGCCTGTAATGCCAGCACTTTGGAAGGCAGAGACAAGAGGATTGCTTGAGCCCAGGGGTTTGAGACCAGCCCAGGCAACTTGATGAGACCTTGTCTCTACAATAAATCAAAAAATTAGTCAGATATGGTGGTGCATGCCTGTAGTCCCAGCTACTTGGGAGACTGAGGTGGGAGGATAGCCTAAGCCCAGGAGGTCGAGGCTGCAGTGGCTGTGAGCATGCCACTGTACTTCTCCCTGGGCAAGAGAACGGGACTCCGACTTAAAAATAAATAAAAATAAAAAAATGTAGGTAATTGTAAAAATAAAGAAATGTTATGCTTTGCCAAAATTTGCAGTTCATTAATTTCATGTTACTGTAGAGCTCCTGGCCGAGCATCTTGGCTCTCCACTGCTCAGTCTACAATGTGTCCCAGACTGTGAGAACGCCTTGTTCTTGAAACAAACACCAAAGTAAAATAACTGACATAATCTTTATTAAATAACAAGCACATAGTCTATATAGATACGGTCCCTTGTCCATCGCCCATCAGTGCTTCTCCACCTCTTGTGAAGGAAGATCACCCTGTGACAAGGTGCAAACCAAGCTGCTGCCCATCTGAATGCCCTGTAATAACGTGGGGGTGACTGTCAAGACACACAGTTCACACTCGAGGGCGTGGCTCGAGTCACAGCATGCGCAGGAGGACACGAACGGTTTGGAGTCACAAAGACTTGGGTGAAGAATGATTAGCTTCATTTAAAATGCCCGTGTTGCCTTCTACGCCCATCTCCTAACAGTTAAACCAGCTGTTACTCTTCAAAATATGCGTCACTTTCTTTGCATTTGGATCATACTCCAACTGGGAAGACCCACTGAAGAAATAGAAAAACCCTGCAAATACAGACAAGGGGAATGGTAAGATATTTTTTTCAAATAAAGACATAGGGCAAAACTCAGAATCACAGAGAAATAAAAACAGGAAGTGTTTGTAGAATTTTACTTTGTGCTAGGGACTGTGTTTGAGCATCTTGCATGACTTTGTTTTCATTGATTTGTGCAACAACCTCATGAAGTATCTATCTAACTTCATTTTATGAATGAGCAAGTTGAAGTTTAGAGTGATTAGAAGCTCACCCAAGGTTCCCTGGAATGCAAGGAAGGACAGAGCCACACCCCATGCCTGCTGTGACAGCAAAGCCGGGCTCCAGGTTATGTGGTTATCTTACAATCAGATCCAATTCTTCACTTGTTTAGAACCTGTGATCCCCTATATCTTTCTTCCCCTGCAACCTGAGAGCGCATCTCTTTCAATACATGAGAGGACCCTTGAAACATGGTACCCAGGCTCCCATTAAAAAAGACCAGCCTCCACTCACCTATCCTGGAGTAGGAAAAAAAAATTCTGGGCACATGGAAAGGTAAGTATTTGCAACAGATGGACACAGGCAATGACCAAGGACTCAGGAAAGATGGGAAAGAACCCTCCCTGGAAATGAGTCATCTCAACAGCATGACATGGAGGGGAAGGCCAGCCAGCCTTGTGTAAGAACTGGCCAGCCACTTGATGAGATTTTTACACTAACTGTGGTAATGTAAAAGATGACAGCTCGGGAGGTGAGGCAGGGATACCTGAGTCTGTGATTTTATTTGTACATATGAAATAAAGCAGAGAGCTTTGTGTTAATTATCTTTATGATTAAAAATAACTTATGCGAAGTAGTCGTAGAGTTGACCCAAAAGCAGAATTGAAATTTGGGGGAAAGAATTGTTGCTGTTGTTGTAAAAACCCTACTTTTAAGAAGCATTTCAATTCTTCTCTCCCCTGTGGCACCACAGACTGGGTCAAGCACCCCACTGCCAACAAAATAGGTATCTACTTACCGAATTGTTCAAAAGCAGCATCGACCTTTGTGTCCACGCCTGGGAAGTCTTCAGCTGTTTGCTTGGGGAAGCCTGGGTCCATGGACTGTCTCCTCTCATCAAATCTGCACCAAGTGAGAGAAACACAGCTCAGCATTGCATGGAGGCCATGTTACCACAATTCGTAAATCATGTTAGGTTAATGAGGGATCCTAGTAAACTTTCCGAGTACTGCAAATAAATGCAAGCATATTAAGGACTACAGAACAAGGTGACTTTAATGGTACTGCAAACTTAGCTTTTAAAACATATCTCCACCAGGAACAGGGGCAACATCCTTGTTGCTTGTTATCATGTTTTTGTTTGTTTGTTTGTGTGTTTGTTTGAGTTGGAGTCTCACTTCGTCTCCCAGGCTGGAGTGCACTGGCACACTCATGGCCACCGCAGCCTCGACCTGCTGGGCTCCAGCAATCCTTCCACCTCAGCCTTCCAAGATACTGGAACTACGGGCGTGTGCTACCATGCCCGGCTAATTTTTGATTTATTGTAGAGACGAGGTCTTGCCAAGTTACCCAGGCTGGTCTCGAACCCATGGGCTCAGGCAATTCACTCACCTAGGCCTCCCAAAGTACTGGAATTACTGGCATGAGCCACTGCACTCAGGCTACCTTATCATTTTTCTGTCACAAAGACATGAAGGTTTGAGCAGACACATACATGTGGTACAAATGTCAAGTGAATCGAGTTGCTCATCTGAAATACAATTTCAATTCTCTACCACAACTGGCCCATAGATGCCTGTGCTCTGCACCCTGCACAGCCAAGTCTTCATGGCAGCCTCCTAGGAGAAGGGGTTAGGATGAGAAGCAAAGCCTAGTACGTGTGTTTTGGACCCATTGGCTGGACCTCAGCTGGTCTGCCTGGATGTCTCAAAGTCTTAGCAGATGGCCCAGGAATCAGGCTGCCTGTGAGCCCTGGGCTGCATCTATAGAACCGGACAACTGTTGCTTGTTATCTCTTAAAAAGGCAGAGAGGATGAACGGGCAAGGTTAGAGGAAGCCCTTGACAATCACGTAGTCATGTTGGGAAGACAAGACAAAACACAATAAGACAATGAGCAGAACTGTGAGCTGAAGGGGAAGGAATGCTGAGTTGAGGCCTGGATTCTTGGGGCCTCTTCCCACTGGATCTAAAGTCCAGGAGGGAAGGCTGCCAGGAGGCAGTGGGGCTTGAAGGATGGGCAGTATCTGGGCAGGTGGAGAGGAGAAGAGCGGGCTCCAGACAGGTAGGACAGCAGCACGGAGGGAAGCATGACCCACGGCACGTGGGACTCAAAGCAGGAGAGCTTGGGAAACACCTGGTCCAAGGCAGTAAGAGCTTTCTCACAGGTGTTCAAAGCCTCGTCCATCCCATTAAGATCTAAGCAGGTTTGGGGCTGGATGGAGGACTTCCTTAGAGAAAGAAAACAACTCCCTAATTCGGCTCTGTAAAGTCATTCCTGTTGTGTCTCACCTCCAGTATTCGTCCTCCACAAAGAAGTATGTCTTCTTCTTTTCCTTATCATAAATGGCCGCGTCGATTCTCCTGACCGTCGGAGGGAAACCCAGGGTGTGGATGCCCCTGGGGTAACCAGCTTGCACCTCATTTCCCTTGATGGCCCAGAACTGATTTCCTGTCAGAAAGAAACAATTCAGAGTCAGCATGCACTTATACATGTAAGTCTTTTAGCTTTAGAAATGACATCTTAGCTAGCGCCTTTGATTTTCATGGTAAAGAGGAAGTCTGGATTTTAGTAGTCACCAGCTTATAGGTGGCTTTTAGCAAAAATTTGCAGACTGAGTGAATGAACAAAGATCAAATGAGAGCATTTACAACTCTGGGCAATTGATCTTTCTGTCTGTGTTTTTATCATCTGTAAAATATAAATGAAGCAATACCAGCCCTGGCAGTTTCTTCATGACCTTTGGCTATTTTAGCAGCCAAAATTTGATATAGTAGAGAAATTAAAGTCGTGTTCAGTTTCTTGTGAGGTCTATTTAAGCATTTAAATAATTCTATAATGGTTACCTTTAAAAATGAATACAGTATCCTTGCTAGTAACTTCGTATGCTGCGTCCATGCCCGAAGGAAGGGATGGCCAAAATGTCGAGATCAAAAGAAATTGAGGTTCAAGCACCCTGAGGGATTTGCGCCAAAAATGCCTAAAATATTTGTAAAATGAAATGTAAATGTGAAAACAGTCTTTCGCCTGTAGGGTGTTTCCCCGTACCATCATGCCTCACCCAGCTTCACCCCTTCCCTCATCCTCTAGGAGGGATGATAATCAGAAACCACTGCTGTTAGGAAAATTCTTTCCTTTTCTTCAGGAGACCGCCTGTCATGGGTTTCCAGAAAGGAAAGTTACCCTAACATCAAACTAATTCGACCAGCATGAGCCTCAACTTCCTGCAATACGTGCAAAACAGTGTGTATGCTATACTATCATTTCCACTTTTCAAAAAGCTAGGCTTTGTGTGTGTGTGTGTGTGTGTGTGTATGAGCTGTGTATTCTTATACATGCATAAAACAATTCTTGAAGGAATACACAGGAGGTCTTGACTGTGGACAAATACAGAGAGAGCTGGGGAAACAAACGTTTTTGTTTGCTTGTTTTAATTTTTATTTTGAGATGAGGTCTTGCCAGTTTTCCCAGGCTGGTCTCGAACCCCTAGGTTCAGGCAAGCCTCTTACCTTGGCCTCCCAAAGTGCTGGGATTATAAGTGCAAGCCACCAAGCTGTGTCAGGAACCCAAATTTTTAACTTCTCATTTGTGCAGTTTGAATGTTTTATCATGTGCATATCTATCCAGCAGTAAGTTCATTGGTTAGATGTAATGCTTAACCTGGTGTCATTGTTAAAGGGGGTAAAGATAAAATTCTGATTCTGAATTACTTGTACCTTGTGAAAAGTAATCAGGACTTAGGATACATGGAAACAATCAGAGGACAAGAATAAAATCATCCTGAGTCTTCAAAAATGGATTTGACAATTTTGGGAAATTGTGGAAAGGCTGTACTGGATAAATGATTCCAAGCTCAGAGGAAAAGTTTCCATTCTTTTTTTTTTTCTGAGTTGGAGTCTCACTGTCACCCAGACTGGAGTGCAGTGGCTGCTCCCGGCCACTGCAGCCTCGACCTGGA